TCTTCTATCCGAAGATGTGAATATTGAAGTCTTCATCTCGATGCAATGAGAGATACTTAAATAGAAAAACGCATAATTTTTGGTCCTAAGATGCCACAATAGGAAACGTGTATAAATACGGGAAAGAAATAAAAAGGAATCCTAAAAATTATAAAAGAAAAGCCTAAATGGGGAGAAGGACTTATCCCAGGGAAGTCTGGTCTACTGGGGAATAGATCCTTTAGTGATAATCAATAAAGAGAGACACCCAACTCGAATACCAATTTCGCGAGTAAATCTTTATTTGAAAGCATCAACTTTATAAAAGGGTAATAAAACTCCTCACGACGAACGGGTCTCAGTTTCTTCTTTAATCAAGTATACTACTTGAACATGGTAACAATAACCTTCCCCACGATGAAGGAGTCTTAGTTTCTTCTTTACAGCACAACAAATTATACATTTCATGATGAAGCTTTCATGTGTAACAAGCTAAAACCGAGAGGATATGACCTGGGAGCACTTTATTAATAAGATAAAGAACATGTTACATAGGTGTAATAAAAAACCGAGGTAACTCAATTATAAGTTAGCGCCCTTTATAATCCTTAAAATAATAATAAACCTGTTATCTCAGTTTTATTTTAGAACCGATGTAATATAGCTATAACGAACCTCACTTGAATCCTCACTGCCATATTTAATACGTTTTTCAACGATTTATCACAAGAATAGGCAATAATAGTAAAAGGAAACATTTAATTTATAATAAAAAAAGTAACTCAACAAAGAAAACTACTCAAAAAATTCAAACATCTCAGTCCACTCAACTTTAACATCACCCATAACTATCCCTAACTATTGAAAAGTACAGAAAAAACTCTTCCATAAGGTATGAGGAAAGTCTTCTCCTTCCGAGAAGCCTTTATAATTTCCTTAAAGAAGTTGAAAATGATAATAGAAAGATTAACTCTCATGTTGTAGGTGAGGAATAACAAGAGATGCTTGTCATACTAAGTAAGCCTTTCGAGTTCTTTCTCTCTTGGACGGAGATTTGACACTAGAAGTTGAAACCAAAATTTTACAATAGAGCATAGAGAAGCAGGACTAGAGAGATTAGTATATTTGGTATAAATTTAGTGAAGGTTGTTTGCATGGAAACAATTGGATTTATAATGTTCAACACAACTACCAAACTCTTCACAATTGATTGTCAAAGCAATCAGTGATGGAGTAATGTATAAAGGAGTGTCATTGACACATGACTGGATGATTTCTTCATGACCGAATGGCACAACAGACGCATTCATCCAAAACTCTTTTTAACAAGGTTAGTGCATATGGGTCCATGTGGAATGTCAAAGTAACCACTCAACTTTTTTTTGTTAACAACTTCCATCGACTTTTTTTTTGTAAACTTTTGAAATCATTGAAATTAACATACTTTTTATTTGATAACGAAAAACAAATTTGCATCAATTTTTGATAAGGAAAAAAAGGACTTTGAAACAAGGAAACATAGAGTTGGTATTGAGACATTGAAAATAGGAAAAGACTTTGAATCAATGAGTTGGTAATTAGACGTTTAAATAGCTCAAAATCCTCCTTGATAATCTAAAAGAGACGTTACGACTTGAATATAGCTGATCATTGTTATTCTGGTGATATAATTCCAATGCATGTCCGCCATGTTTGTGTTCTAACTTCTATGTTAATTGTATTTAAATGTTCTAACATGTCAGTCTTCCTAAAGACCGAGGGAAAATTTAGTGCTAAAATAAATTTGGAACCTCTATTTTAATTGTATTTTTTATTTAAAAATAAATGTTCTAACTCGTCGGTTTTCCTAAAAACTGAGGGGACCTTTAGCGTTAAAATCGAGGATATTTATAAAATCCTTAATCAATCCTCAATCAAATCCTTGTCATCCATTTCACGACTATCAACACTCAAGATATTACCATTAGTGATCCGCGTAAAACATAAAAACCTCTATTGTGCCTCTCATTATAAAAGAATTATGAAGCATGAAGAGTTTAAGGTTTGCATGAGCGTTTGCCATGAAGAGTTCTCTATGATGGATTGCATGAACAAAAAATTATTTGGGTTTAAGGTTTGTGTTTTTAAATGTTTTCCATGAAGAGTTCTTAAATATATTTTTTTATCAAAAAATTATTTATTTATCTAACCCTTTTTTTGACTAACCCCTTTTTTTGACTAACCCTTTTTTTGTCTAACCCTTTTTTTTGACTAACTTTTGTTTGTTCATATAAAAAACAAATGCATGCAAAAGAGATTAAAAACATCCTTGCACACATCATTTGATCTATCCAAAAATTATATGGTTTGAAGATCTAAAATCTAGATCTTCTGGAAATTAATTTACCTAAGGCTTTTTCTTTTGTTGAGAGAATGAAGTTCCCATTATTTGATCTTGCTAGAATATCAAAGAATTGAAGATAAAACATATGATCTTCATGGAAAATTAATTTTATTTTTCTGTATAAAATATGTAATACTATGGGTAAATAATGTAACGAGTTTTATTTTAAAAAAAATGAATAACCCCTCAGTTTTCTTGATAAACCGAGATAAAATAGGCCCTAATTTTTTTAAATAATAAAAGTGCAGAAACTAGGGATCGAACCCATGCGCTAAAAAATATCACCTCAGTCTTATAAACACTGAGGTGTTAGGTTCATACTTTTCATAACGACCTTATTTACCTCGCTTTAGATGCCGAGGTAAAATACATTTCACGTCCAATGTTGGATGCGTTATTTGTAGTAGTGTTAATCAAGTCTTCTACTTGAAGAGGGTAACAAAAAACTTCCCCATAAAGAATGGGTCTCAGTTTCTTCTTTAATTAAGTCTTCTACTTAAAAGGGTAATAATAAACCTCCCCACGACGAACGGGTCTCAGTTTCTTCTTTAATCAAGTATTCTACTTGAAAAGGGTAACCAACAAGTTCCTTAAAAGGTAACCACTTGTATAAGGTTTTCACAACAAATTATCTCTATCATATCGAAGAGATTATCTATCCATTGTAGTAAACAACAATCTTTACAATGAACTATCTATATTAATCGAAGAGATTAACCATTCATTCGAGTAAACAATATTCACAACAAATTATCTCTATATGTAACGCGGTGGGAGAAATGACTTGGTTGTTTTGCATTTGATCGCAATTGTTGCGGATAGCAAGAGTCGCCGCCGACTTTTCTTTTATCCAAAAGGAAAGGTTGAAAAGAACAGGAAAGACCTTTTGAGATTATTTCTTGAGTTTGGGGGGTAGGTTATGAAAAGGGAAGGTGTTAGCACCCTTTTCATCCGTAGTTATCTGTGGGCTCTTAGTTTCCTGCTAGATCACTTGCTTTTTGTTTGAAAATGTGCTTGTGGTGTGAGTTTTGAAAGTATTTTGAAAATGTCTTTGTAATGGCTCTCGTTTCTATAAGAACGCATACAAAGTTTTGTTTTGGAATAGTTTAAAGAGGTGTTTGTGGAATGTGTTTTTTAAAAGTGATTTTGAAAAATGTCTTTGTAATGGTTCTCGTCTCAATAAGAACGTGTACAAAAAGCTTTGTCTTTTTAAAATGTTTCAAGATGAAAGTGTTGGTGTATAAAATGTTTTTGTTGTGAGAAAGCGAGAAACTAGGAGCATCCTACCTACTCAAAAGGTCTAATGTTCTTTTCCTCCTCCTTTAGATATTGCTATCTTACCATTGATTTGGTAAGAGGCCCCATTGTTGAATGTGAAGGGACAGGCACGAGTCAATCGTACAGTTATAGAAGGCAACTTGCGAGACGCTTTAGCAATTTTATAAGGGACTAGATCGTTTTACCGAAGGCAACATCGAGGGACTACGATCTTTTTACCGAAGGGTCTTTTCTAAAGCGTCCTATATTCGAGGGACATGACTGTATTTTTTCGAAGGCAATGAGCGAGGTTACCCTAGAGGTGTGCGTGTGCAAAGTGATTTGTTTTCAATTGAATTGTCTTGAAATTAGGTTATCTAGCGGTTGTTTTTATGTCTTATCATACATGTCTAATTACTATACAGTATAAAAGAAAACAATAAATTGTGGAAATTAAAATTTTACGCTATTACAAGGCTTCGGGAATGGGGGTACAAACCATAAAATATAGGAGGAAATAAACTAATCTATTACAAAACCAACCGTGTGACCTATACATTTATTTTTTTAGAATTTAAACAGCAAAGAGAAAAGAAATTAGAAGAAGGTATTTAAAGCTTAAAGAAAATTTTTAAATATCATAAAAATATTTTGTGATGTTTTTATTTTCATTGTTTTTGGTATTTTATAGTTTTATTACCAACCTAAATTAATCTAATAAGCCTAGTAACTAAGTTAATACAACTAATATAATAATATATTGAAGTAGAAATGTTTTTGTGTTTTTTTTAAATAAAAATAATTAAACTAAATTAAATAGTCTAATAACATGAACATGTTTTTGTTTTTTTTATATTAACAACAAAATAAGATAAACATTGTAATAATTAAATTAACTAAACAATATTAAGTTAAATAATTAGGAGTGCAAAAAAAATAAGAGGTGGGCATAAATGAAATGTTAGAACAATAAACCCAAGCCTAATCCCCTTTAATCCTAATTTTAATTAATAAAATATTATATAATAATGAGAAAAGAGTAAATAATAAAATAAGTAAATAAAGAAAATAGACAAAAAAATTGAGATAGAAAAAGAAAGGTGGAAGCGTTGTATCATGGTTTTCTATGTTAATTTAAAACTTAAACAAAATATACGGAATAGATAAATAAAAAGACTTAGTCAAACTAAAACATCTCTCATTCTCTCACTTTTTGTTTTTTCTTTTTACAAAACAAAGTTTTTCTTCTTTCTTTTAGGAAAAAACCAAATCACTCAAACTTCAGATAACCAGATTCATCATGAATCAAGTTTCAAAATCTTTATTTTCTCAATTTCAACTCATTCCACACACACAAAAATAGAACGATTGAAGACTTACCTTAAGGATGCGGCTGTGGCGATGATAGAGATGATCGACGTTGGTTGTCGTTTGTGGCTCTGCAGTTGTCAAAGGCTGGATGGTGTTGAGATTGCTGCGCAGGGGTGGTAGTCGCTTGGATCTGTGGCGGCTGTTCCGCGGTGTCGTGAAGGCGTCTTTCAGAGGAGTTTTGATTCCGCCTGTGGGTGCGACCAGATCTTCCTTTTTGTTCTTCTGTTTCTCTCTTTCTCTGTGTTAAGTCTGATCCGCGAAAATCCGTTGTTGTTGTCGGTGTTAATTTTGTGCGGTGTTGAACCGTGAGACTGCATTCCTGTTTTTTTTGTTTTGTTTTTGTGAGCTGCTACTATTGTTGCAGTTTTGTTGAGTATAGTCGAAAGGTATAAGTTAGGGCAGAATTTTGAGTGATTTTTGTGGTGTTAATGTCTTGATATTTCTGTGTGTTTCTATGCTGTGATCCCTATCTTCCCCCCTTTCTTTGCTTGTTGTATCAATTTTTATAGTGGAATAACTAAGATTTGGGGGGAAAATTGTGATAGATTTAAACATGTTTGCTTCCCTGTCTTATTACTTTTTATATGCGGTTTTTGTGTTGCCTATTTTGATGTGTTTTTCGGACTATTTTGACAGGTTTGGAGCAGATTTTGACTGCTATGGGCAGCAGTGCAGGGCTGTTATTTGGATTGTTTGTGCAGGTTTTGCAAGGCTGGTTTGTGGGAATGTTTTTGTAGTTGATGGAAGGAAGCATAGCAATAAGTTTTTTTGACAGTTTTTTCTCTTTTGGACTGTTTTGGGGACTAAAGAAAAATGTTTGTAACAAGGTTTTAAATGGCATATAAGTTCATGAGACTTAGAGTCATTTAGCATAGGTTTAGAACTTTAGGAAATTCTATGTAATTTAGAAAGTATTTTGAGTTTGGAAACTCAACAGTCTTGTATCATGATAAATTTTATTCAAAGTTTAATTTGAAATTTATGTAACAAACTCTCTTGATGAACTTAAGACGTGAGGAACTTGAATTGAATCTTGTATTTGAAAAGAGCTCGGAAATTTGAATGAAAATGAATGAAATTGTTGAATGCCTTTCCTTGAATTCGAAACAATTCACATGAATGAATTTTTTCAAATATATCAAACTTGTGCCATAAGCATATTGATCCTTTTGAATATCTTGAAGCAAAGACAAATTCATATGAATGAATTATGCCTCACATGCTTGAATTGAGCCGAAGTGAAAAGAATTATTTGAATGGATCCTCGAATCTTCTTCATTAAAATCCATATCTTCAATTCATAGTAACTTGAAGTACGAGCAAATACTACGAATCTTGCCTTTAAGGATTTTGATCAAAATCCCATTTTGATCCAATAATCGTTATCGTTTAAATGCAAACGATTTGAAGTACAAATAACAAACTATCCATGAACCTTCAAACTCAAACTCTTGTTTTAATGAATTATCTCAACATAATGATCAACATCTAGAAGTTAATAACATTCTAAAGTCAAGAAATTCCTATAAAATTTCAATAAATTTCATGGTCTTCCAAGTGCACTTTAACTTCGATCGTTGAAGCAATCTCATAGACAATGCTATTTGTGATACTTCGCAAAAAGAATCGCTTCAGAACATTGAAAATTGAAGAAGTTATGAGCCTCAAAAATTTGACAAGAGTTTCTTGTGATTAGGTCAAATTTGCAAAATGACTTCTAAAGTACTCGAATTTTTCTGATGATCTTTCGCACGTAATCAGCTCTTGACTTATGAAGAGAAATTGCAGACAACGTCAAGGAGAGTCATACACAAAAAGAAACGCTGAAAAATATCTAAAAATGAAGAAGTTACAATCGTTTGAACTCGATCTTTCAAAAGGTCGATTTTTGGGTCAATGCAAATCATTTCCATTTATTTGAACCATTGACTGAGAAAACTTGCAATGCGAGGTTTGAAACTTGGCACGAACATCCTTGAAAATACACGAAGAACCATGAAGACCACTTAAAACCTTGAAGACTCAATTTTCTTTGAGAAATACCAAACCCTAGTTGCTGATTTAATGCCTAGGAAGAGAACCTGTTTGATCAAACCCTAAGCCATTTTGAGTATTTGAGAAACCCTAGGATAACATCTTGAACAAAAAATGGGAGGGCAGATTTTGGGGTACAACAACTGCCCCTATTCAATCTTCTTAAACTTGAAAAGTGAGATTGGCATGTTTGTTGTTCGTAGCTTGAAAGTGGAAGATGATTGAACACTAGAGTGCCTAGAAATTTGCACTTGCTGATGCACAAAGTAATGCCTTGGATTTATTGTATTGGGGATGGGCTTACAGATGCCATTTGGAGAGTTATGGAATATTATTGGAGATGGGCTTATAGATGCCATCCAAAGGTGATTATTGACAGAAATTAGACTAAATCTAAACTTGACTTCATCTAGAAAAGAATCAGAATAAACTTCTGGTCGATTTAAACTGAACCAGCAGAAGTCCTGAATAATCTTTAACTGGAAAGAAATCAGAATAAATCTTGGAACGATTTATCTGAACCAGAGAAAATATCTACGGGAAAGAATCAAGATAAATCATTGAGAGATTTAAAATGAACCAGCAGAAGTCTTGAATATTATTTAACTGGAAAGAATCAAAACAAATCTTGGAGAGATTAATCTGAAATAGAGAAAATATCTACATGAAAGCATCAGGATAAATCATTAAGAGATTTAAACTGAACCAACAGAAGTCTTGAATATTCTTTAACTGGAAAGAAATCAGAAAAAATCTTGGAATGATTTATCTAAAATCAGAGAAAATATATATGGGAAAGAGTCAGGATAAATCATTGAGAGATTTAAACTGAACCAACAGAAGTCTTGAATATTCTTTAACTGGAAAGAATCAGAACAAATCTTGGAGCGATTTATCTGAACCAGAGAAAATATATACTGGAAAGCATCAGGATAAATCATTGAGAGATTTAAACTGAACTAGCAGAAGTCTTGAATATTCTTGAACTGGAAAGAATCAGAACAAATCTTGGAACGATTTATCTGAACCAGAGAAAATATATACGGGAAAGAATCAGGATAAATCATTGAGAGATTTAAACTGAACCAACTGAAGTCTTGAATATTCTTCAACTGGAAAGAATCAGAACAAATCTTGGAACGATTTATCTAAACCAGAGAAAATATCTACGGGAAAGCATCAGGATAAATCATTGAGAGATTTAAACTGAACCAGCAGAAGTCTTGAATATTCTTTAACTGGAAAGAATCAGAATAAATCTTGGAGCGATTTATCTGAACCAGAGAAAATATCTTCAGGAAAGAATCAGGATAAACCATTGAGAGATTTAAACTGAACCGGCATAGGTCTGCAAAAGGGTCAGAATAAATCTTTGAAGCGGTTTATCTGAACTAGAGAAGATGTATGCTGGAAAGAATCAGGATAAACCATTAAGAGATTTAAACTGAAACGAAAGAGGTCTGGAAAAGAATCAGAATAAATCTTTGGAGCGATTTATCTGAACCAGAGAAGATATCTGCGAGAAAGAATCATGATAAATCGTTGAGAGATTTAAACTGAACGAGCAGAAGTCTGGAAAAAGAATCAGAATAAATCTTTGGAGCGATTTATCTGAAACATAGAAGATGTCTGCGGGGAAGAATCAGGATAAACTGTTGAGAGATTTGAATTGAACCAACAGAGGTCTGGAAAAGAATCAGAATAAATCTTTGGAGCAATTTATCTGAGCCAGAGAAGATGTCTGTGGGAAAGAATAAGGATAAACCATTGAGAGATTTAAACAGAACCAACAGAGGTCTAGAAAAAGAATCAGAATAAATATTTGGAGCGACTTATTTGAACTAAGGAAGATGTCTGCGGGAAAGAATCGGGATAACCCGTTGAGATATTTAAACTGAACTAGCAGAGGTCTAGAAAAAGATCCAGAATAAATCTTTGGAGCGATTTATCTAAACTAGAGAAGATGTCCGCATGAAAGAATAAGGATAAATCATTGAGAGATTTAAACTGAACCAATAGAGGTCTGGAAAAGAATCAGAATAAATCTTTGGAGCGATTTATCTGAACCAGAGAAGATATTTGCGGGAAAGAATCAGGATAAACCGTTGAGATATTTAAATGTTTGGAAAAAGAATAAGAATAAATCTTTGGTGCAATTTATCTGAACAAGAGAAGATGTTTGTGGGAAAGAATTAGGATAAACCGTTGAGAGATTTCAACTGAACCAACAGGGGTCTGGAAAAAGAATTAGAATAAATCTTTGGTGCGATTTATCTGAACCAGAGAAGATATCTGCGGGAAAGAATCGGGATAAATCGTTGAGAGATTTAAACTGAACCAACAGAGGTCTAGAAAAGAATTAGAATAAATCTTTGGAGCGATTTATCTGAACCAGAGAAGATGTTTGCGGGAAAGAATCAGGATAAACTGTTGAGAGATTTAAATTGAACCAGCAGAGGTCTGGAAAAAGAATCAGAATAAATCTTTGGAGCGATTTATCTGAACCAGAGAATATGTCTGCGGGAAAGAATCAGAATAAACCGTTGAGAGATTTAAACTGAACCAGCAGAGGTTTGGAAAAAGAATAAGAATAAATCTTTAGTGCGATTTATCTGAACCATAGAAGATGTATGTGGGAAAGAATCGGGATAAACCGTTGAGATATTTAAACTGAACCAACAGAGGTTTGGAAAAGAATCAGAATAAATCTTTGGAGCGATTTATCTGAACCAAAGAAGATGTCTGAAGGAAAGAATCAGGATAAACCGTTGAGAGATTTAAACTGAACCAGCAGAGGTCTGGAAAAAGAATCAGAATAAATCTTTGGAGCGATTTATCTGAACCAGAGAAGATGTTTGTGGGAAAGAATCAGGATAAACCGATGAGAGATTTAAACTGATCCAACAGAGGTCTAGAAAAAGAATCAGAATAAATCTTTGGAACAATTTATCTGAACCAGAGAAGATGTCTGCGGGAAAGAATTAGGATAAACCAATGAGAGATTTAAACTGAACCAACAGAGGTCTGGAAAAGAATCAGAATAAATCTTTGGAGCGATTTATCTGAATCAGAGAAAATGTCTGTGGGAAAGAATCAGGATAAACAGTTGAGAGATTTCAACTGAACCAGCAGCGGTCTGGAAAAAGAATCAGAATAAATCTTTAGTGCGATTTATCTGAACCAGAGAAGATATTTGCGGGAAAGAATCGGGATAAACTGTTGAGAGATTTAAACTGAACCAGCAGAGGTCTGGAAAAGAATCAGCATAAATCTTTGGAGCGATTTATCTAAACCAAAGAAGATGTTTGCGGGAAAGAATCAGGATAAATTTTTGAGAGATTTAAATTGAACCAATAGAGGTCTGGAAAAAGAATCAGAATAAATCTTTGGAGCGATTTATCTGAACCAAAGAATATGTCTACGGGAAAGAATCAGGATAAATCATTGAGAGATTTAAACTGAACCAGCAGAGGTCTGGAAAAGAATCAGAATAAATCTTTGGAGCGATTTATCTGAACCAGAGAAGATGTCTGCGGGAAAGAATCAGGATAAACCATTGAGACATTTAAACTGAACCAACAGAGGTCTAGAAAAAGAATCAGAATAAGTCTTTGGAGCGATTTATCTGAACCAGAGAAGATGTCTGCGGGAAAGAATCAGGATAAACCGTTGAGAGATTTAAACTGAACCAATAGAGGTCTGGAAAAGAATCAACATAAATCTTTGTAGCGATTTATCTGAACCAGAGAAGATGTCTGTGGGAAAGAACCAGGATAAACCGTTGAGAGATTTAAACTGAACTAGCATAGGTCTGGAAAAAGAATCAGAATAAATCTTTGGAGCGATTTATCTGAGCCAGAGAAGATGTCTGCAGGAAAGAATCAGGATAAACCGTTGAGAGATTTAAACTGAACAAGTAGAGGTCTGGAAAAGAATTAGAGTAAATCTTTGGAGTGATTTATCTGAACCAGAGAAGATGTCTGCGGGAAAAAATTAGGATAAACCATTGAGAGATTTAAACTGAACCGACAGAGGTCTGAAGGAAATATTTGTTATGTAGATGGTCAACCAGTCCTTTCTCGGGAATTGATCTGTAATTGATTT